CTCCTCCTCCTCCTCCTCTTTCTCCTCCTCCTCCTCCTTTTCCTCCTCCTCCTCCTCCTTTTCCTCCTCCTCCTCCTCTTCCTCCTCCCTTCCCCCTTCTCCACCCCGTGTTTCCCCCTACCCTATCCCATCTTTCCGCCCACCCTCCTCTGAAGTCCCCTCCCCCCCTCCGGTCTGGAAAGGCTGGTGCGCCCGCCGCTGTTGCCGCGGCTCCCGGGCCGGTCGCGGAGGGGCGGGGTGGAGACGAGGTGGGCATGCCCTGGCATTGAAAGAGGGGGGGAGGCAGGCGAGCTTTCACCTCCAGCTCCGAAAAATTGGCCGCTCAGCGACGGCGGCAGCAGCGGCAGCGATGGCGACGGCGGCGGCGGCGGCGGCAGCGGCAGCGGCAGCTGCAACAGCTGCAGCGACGGCAGCGGCAGCGGCTGTGTGTGAAGTCCGCTCATCTCCCCTTTCTATCCATCTATCCTGCTATCCGGCCCTTGTTGACGGCCCTTGTTCTGAATGGACAAAACAAATACACAGTTTCTCCTTATCGTCCTCTACCTACGGAGCATACGGTAGGTTCGATTCATCGGTGGTCAACCTCCGTCCACAGGTTATCAGCCTATTCCACTACGCTTTCCGTTGCGACACCCCGCGCCGCCTTCGGGCCTTGCGCATGGGACCTGTGCCTCTATGCGTGATGTTTTTTCGACGGTGCGTGGGCTTCGCGACGACACGGAAAGGGCAGTGGGACAGGGAGTGATACCACAATCTTCCCCCTACCAGGAGAAAGCAACGCCGATGCTCGCCTCGAAGCAGCGCCTCGGCGTGCACAGCGGGCAGACGTGTATTTGTTCCTGTCTTCCGTGCCGGCGCAATCGTACACCCCAGGGTTTGGGCCCAGCTGTCAGTCGACTGTTCAGTCACCTGGAGCCAACATTAGTTCAAGTCCGTCGTCGGTGGAAACGCCCACGCTTTCCTCCTCCAGTGTTTTCGCCGGTGGGAACACCCGCGGTGGCGCGAACGAAACTTGTCCTCCGAGTGCTTCCGCACGACACCGCCGTTGGGACACAAGACGTCCCATGAGCCCCACATCGGTTCCTGTATCTGAACACGCGCGAGCCATTGCGGATCGTACTGGGCTGCCCTCGCAGCGAAAAACCCCCGAACGGTATCGCCTCCAGTCTCAAAGCAGGGGCAATAGTCACAAAACCTCCCGAAGGCGCGCGCGGCAGAATTCCGCGCGGCGCGACATCGTGCCACAAGCACCCCCCTCCGCCAATGATTGGGCAGAGTTCGGATACCAGGTTGAACGTTGCACGACCCAGCAGTTGTCGGGTCTTGCTGCCACAGTCGCTGATCATGCGACGCAGACAGCAGTTTTGAGGCAACATATCCAGAATGCTCTTGCCCTGGTCGACGTTCGGATCGCCGAGGATCGATCGATCCTACAGGAGGTCAATGACAAGTTCACCGCATGGAATCACACCCAAGTGCCGACCCCACTACCATCCAGACGCTCCGCGACTACCTCCTCGCCGCGGAGGCGCAACCCGCGAGCGTCGGGGATGCGGGCACTGCGGCCGCCAGGACCCTGCACGATGAGCTCCTGACATTGTGGCAGGTTGCAGCTACTGATGTACACGAGCTTACGGATCAACAGCTCCACGATGACCTCACTGTGCATCGTGATCACGTCTGCGTGACCACGGCCAACCTCAACTCGCGAAATACCACAACCACGTCCGAGTTGCACGGCAAGCTGTGCACTGCCGAGAGTGATATTGCTCAACTTTCGGATGCGTCGGAGGGGCGCGTGCCAGCGCCGGAGAACGGAGTCTCCAGTTATTTGATCTGCAGGCTGCGCTGGCTGAGCTGAATGTTGCGCGGATCCAGACTGGCCAGTTGGGCACCCCGACTTCGGTTTGCGATTTCGCGCCCCTCACCGCCGAGACGGCCGAGGCAAGGACGGCGGCGGACAACGCGCAGTTGTGGCTCGCCCAGATCTCCCACTAAAGAGACGCCGAAAAAAGCGAGGGCCGAGGCACTCCTCACCCGTTTGGAACGAGAGCGCGAAGCACGCAACCGACGAACCCAGGGCTCTGAGCATCGGCTGGACCGGCAATCCCAGCGACCCATGACACCAATAATAAGGCGCGTGGTCTACGACGGGGCCCCGAGAAGTTGCGGGGCGATCTCGCGACAACCGAGGCAACCTTGACGGCCCACTTGAGCGGTGCTCAGATCCACCCCGCTTCGCAACTTCCAGAACCCGCTGCAAACAGTGCCCCGACCCTCGCCGATGGAAACGTCCGCGCTGGACACCCGCGACGCGCGTCGCCAGGAGCTGCCCCGGACACAGTGCTCTCCTGGTGGTGCCACCCCGATCAGGTAATCAGATACAGCCCGCGTTCCTCAACTGCCGCGCACTATTCAAGTACAGGGGCGGCGACAGATGGCCGGGGGAAATTCCGGCAGCGCATCGCGGCGCCCTGCCAAGGCATGCACCTTTCTCCACGGTGCAGAACGCCCCGATGTTGCAGAGAACCTACAAGGCAGCGGCGACTTCGAGGGCATCGATTGCAAGCTCGCCACTGGATTTTCGGCCGCTCCCACTACTGAGCTTCGCTGCCGCGCGAAGAACCTCACAGCTTAGGAAAACAGCCGGCCGCGTGCTGGAAGGCACACAGACCTATAGGTAATTGGGTGGTCGACCGCAGCCACATCATGATCATTGTCCACGTCGACAAGTTCGAGTTTCACGTCGTGGAGTTATCATGTCACAGAGCGACTGTACATCCCTCAGGTGCCATGGCAGTTTCCGGGCAGATCCGGATGATTTTGCGAGCGAGGATTTTGCGCCGGAGCGCGCGCCCGCGTCGGCGCCGCCAGCGCGCGACAAGACGCTGCCAGGCCGACCGCGGCCACCCGTCGACCCCGCGCGTTGCACCACCCACGGCCCAGAATACCCTGACTATAAAGTATGCGCGCGCAACCTGGCACATAATGCGCAATGCAGACGCAAGCACAAACCCAACCAGTCACCACAGCCCGCTGAAGAAGACACCCAATACGAGGCATTTGTGCCCAAGCGCTCCGGTGAGGCTCTGACCGCCGACCGCGTCGTCCTTGCTGCAGCCGCTGATAAGTATGGTGACAAGTACGCCTTGGTTGCGTTAGACAAGCGCGCAGGCGCTTTATGGCGTACCTTGCGAAGCGCAAGGGCGCCGAGACCACCGAGGCATCCTTCTTCGAGTTTCTCGCCCCCAACGACGAGGTGAAACGCGTATGCACCGACGACTCGGGCGAGCTACAGGAGGCGCGCCTCTGGGGGCGGCGGCGCGATGCCAGCGCGCCACGACGGCCACAGACGAAGGGAATGGCCGAACGCGCAGGCCAATCAGCTATGGGCACCCGCGCGGTGCTCCACAGTTCTGGCCTGGGACATGAATGGTGGGAAGAGGCCGCGCGAGCCTGGCGCCGCGGCCGTAATTTCACCACCAAACCTCGCCATGGAGTTGCAGCAGCGCAGGAGGAGCACCAGGATTCCACATCGCGCAAAGGCGCATGCTTCAATCCCGGCGCCATCAAGTCCGCCGCAAAGTTTGAGGAGACAACGAGCGACGGCTTGTCTACGGGATACCATCTTCTCTCTGGTGGCCGCTGGCATGGCGACTCCCTCGCCCACGACGCGGCCGCATGCGCCAAACATATAGATGGGGGGCGTTGCCGCGCGCGCCGAGCCAGGAACGCTGCGATCTCGGGCGGCAAGCATGTCTTCCCGGTCAAAGAGGGTATTCCCCGACACCACAATTTTGAAGGGCGCGAGTTGGTTGAATTCCAGACATCTCGCCCGTTGGGGGAGACGGCCAAATACGACCCAATGCTACTCTACCCAGCAGCATGGGGCGACCCCAGCATGGCGAAGCTTCCTGAACCAGCCCTTCCCGAAGCTTCCGACTCCGGAGCACCGGTTCCCAAACCAGGCCTTCCCGAAGCAAAAGAGCCAGCGGCTCCAGCTCCAGAGCCCGACTGCTGGGAGCCCCGCGGCGAGGCCAGTTTACGGCGCATGCGTGCACCGCGCGCTCAGCCTTTCCGCCGCGCTGACGACGCGATCGGGGCCCCTTCCCCAGTGGGCGAGATCGACGTCGCCCGCGATTTCGAGACCGCATCCACATAAGAGGGCGAAATGTATTTCCGCGATGATTGGGGCGGCGCGAGCGAGAGTGATCACCGCCATCTCAGCGAGCATCGGACTGGAGCCATTCGCTTCCACAGGCGGCCCGAGATCGTCCCAGAAGGCTGGATGAATGCACGCGGCGCCGCAAGACACGCGTCCGGGCCACGTCTCGGCCTGGCCGCATCCTGCCCGACGTCTGGAATGCCATGTTGAAGAATGAACGACACATCGATAAAAAAAGCTCGCTGGCGACATTGTCCGAGCACGGGGGGCGCGCGAGTGATCTGCTCTTCGCGTCTGGGCAAGGGAAGAAGTACAGGCCCATCGCTTCCGCAGTAACAGCGGCGACGGCCCTGCCTGAAAAACCGCGGAACGACGCGTCGCCTGCGACCTACGCAACAACGCCGCCATCCGAGATGAAAACGCCAAGGGCGCCACCGACAACAGCGTACTACACGCCGCCCTTCCTGATGGACCACGCGACATCACCACTATATTGTGCTGCCGTCCACAGCCAGCGGCCACTCCCGCGAGCGTTGCCTGCTCGTTTGCGCTGCTGGACAACGACGGCTCCGACTGCGGCGACTTGAAAGTTATTCCGTAGTTTCAAGTTGTCAGGCGACGCGCCCGCGATGCCGCGCGCGCTGGGCTACCGCCACGAGCACAGGAACAAGGTCGATATGACTCACCGGCAACGCCCGCGCCTTGTCACCCGCAACCGACCGAGAAATAGGTTTCAGCCGAACCGCGCGCACTGGGCGCCCTTCGCAATGAATGCGAACGTCTGGAGAAGAAACAGACTTGGATGGTCGAGGCGGTCGCGGGGCGCGCAGATGTCGAGGCAAACGCGCGCAGGACCGGCACAACAGTTCAATTGTTCTAACATACTGGAACTCCCCCCGTTGAAAATGTAGAATTACCTCCAGAACTCCAGAAGTTCAAGGGCCGCGTCGCGATTCAGGGCGACAACATGAAGGACGAGAGCGGCTCGGCCGCAGTCTTCGCCGACGCCGTCCCCAGCGCATCGCGCGTGGAGGCTTCGAAGCTGCGCGACGCCACGGCGCT